TGCCGCAGAGCGTTTGCTTAGTTTTTTGGACGACCGAATAGCCTCGATAGCTAGAGTAATTCGCGCTTCTTGAGTTTGAATATCCATGGTAAATAGTTGAAGAAAACGTGTGTTGAAGTTTGAGGAGGTAGTGCCAAGGAAAAGTGATCGACTCGGTGATATGATCGACTCGCTGATAAACCACGTTATATAAGTTATATATATATATATAAGCATTATCTTTAAAATAGGAGAGTTTAAGAGATTTTAATTTTTTTAATTTTTTAAAGTTCCTAGACCACCTGAATCAGGTGGTGGAACACCTGGAACAGGTGCTCTCGTGCTCCTACTGGGACCGGGCCCCCAGAAGACTCAAACAAATACGCCCAGGCGACCTCAACACCAGAGTTCTACCAAGTCATGAACGGCAAGCGGATCTCGTACAGCGACTACGTGGCGGGCATTGAGGAGTGGCGTGCTAAGATTAGTGACTACGATCCTATTGTGTCAGTCCAAACTTTTGTCCAAGATAATAACATCTTCCCTTATGATAATGCCTTATTAACTCGGTCTCATCATCTAGCCATGAGTTTCTACGTGATGGTAATCAGTTGGCAGCTGGTATGACGACGGGCACTATCAAGGTAGACGGGGCCGCCACCGAGTTTGAGAGTTTCATGTTCGCTAAGGTGGATACTGAGAGTGGGAAATTGGAATGGTTGGTTGAGAGAGCTGTGTGGGGGCCTGTTGGTGGCCTATTTGAGCATGGGTTAGCTAAGGGGGTTATAACTTTGAGGTGGCTTGAGACTAGTCTCGCTTAATTTGGGCTGTCATTATCATACTATAGGGTTTGGGGAAATTTATGGGATATTTGATTTCAATGTAGATCAATCATCGTTCCTTCTCTTTTCTAATATTCTTTCAAGGGGATTTCGGTATCCCATTCTTGGATATCGAGCTAATGGGGGCACAGACTTTGTTGTTGTTGGTGTTAGTGTTGGTGTTGGTCCCTCATGCCAGACATCTAAAGTGGCATGTGGAAATGCCTCATGACAGGCTTCACACCATAAAGCTCCATCTTCATTGTGAGCAGGTAACAGCTCTGTGTTAAATGTATAATGCACAGATTGGGTTTCTCTTGTCCTCTTTCAAGTTACGTTTAATTTAGGTAGCTAACGATGGAGCTTGTGAGAGAAGACGGAAAGCTCCCGAAATCCACTATATCTGTGTGGTCCTCATGGTGCCGCTGACCTCCACTATTAATCTCACGATGGCAATCAACCCTCAATATTCGCGCCGACTTGGTCAAGTCCAGTGTCACGGGCAGCCCCTCGGTCCTAGTCACACAAAATTAGCCTGCATACAAACCTCATATATCGCGCACCCATTCAAGCCTACCAAAAGAGCCTGCGGAACATCCGTCGTAACCGCACGCTTCGTAGACGCAGAATTCCCGCCCCTCCAAACCTTCCCCGTCTTCCCCTCAAGAATATCCCCCACAACCTCCTGCGCATACTTCTCCGCCGCTTCCCTCGGATGACCATCACCCCCTCGCACACGATGCTTAATCAACTCCTCAATCGGTTTATACATCGAATCATCCGGGAGTTTCCAATCCCCGAAATATGTTTGGCCGTTGGACTCGACTGCACCCGTTACGACTTGAAGAGTTTTTACACCAAATGGCTCGATTTCTAGGCGTATTGTCTCGGCGAGGAGCTCGAGTGAGCGTTTGGTTGCGGCGTATAGACCTGTGCTTGTTAAGTGTTTGTTATTTTGTCTTTTGATGGATTGAAGTTACCCATATAGGGTACGTTTAGATACCCAGATACCGAGGTCGTGTTAACAACCATCCCTTTGCTTTCCAGTAAGAGGGGCATGAAAGCCTTGATCAACGCCAGCGGGCCCCAAAGGTTGATTTCGAATATCTCCTTTGCTTCGGAGACATCGATGTCAAGGACTGGTGAGAAGTGGTTGCGACCTGCGTTGTTTACCAAGATATCGAGACGTCCTGAGATTTTCTTGATGGATTCAACGGCTGTTGTGATTTGTGAGGTAACAGTAACGTCAAGTTCTAGCAAGGTTACGTTTGGTTGGTTTGAGAGTGTGCCCATCTTGGAAGGATTGCGCGCGGTTGCGAATACGTGGTAATCCTTTCTGAGAAATTTCTGTGCGAGCGCAGAGCCTAATCCGCCATCGCTGCATCCAGTAATCAGGACTACTTTCTTCGAGGTGGACGGCATGGCCATTTTGGGAAGGACTAATTTGATATTAGAAGTTCCATAAGTTGGGAAAGGCAATGCTGCGAAAAAGAAAGGTACAACATTTGTTACCCAAGCCCGTGAACATTGAACAGCACTATCTCAATTTGGCCACAGAAGGAAGTCATGATTGGATGGATTCCGTAACTAACGTTAGTGAATGTTGGCAGAAATGAAAAGATCTTTAGTGGCGCGGGGTATCTACTTACCGGTATGTGGTTCCTAGCATTGTGAATGTTGGTGTTGGTGTCGGTGTTGGAGTAGGGAAATGGATATTTTGCCCATGCTACATTTCGGTAACCAGTTTCAATGCCAACGAACAGGAACCCAACGAATGAAGAACTAGTAATTCTAGGTTTTGGATTTAGACAGATAAAGCAGTCGAAATGACTCTCCGTATATTATCTGTACATGAAAATCGTAGAGTTTCGCACCCAAAATCCACCATTCGATTCTACTAGTTGGCCTCGGAGTATATATAAGTTATTTCTTTACAAGTGAAACATATAAATCCTTGAAGTGAAAGTATAATTAACCAATTAGAGAATTAATCATTTTCGAATTAAATCTTTACTTTTTAGATTCTCAGGTACAGCATCCTAAGTGTACTAAAAGGCTAAATAGAGTAGATACTAATTCGCAAATCGCAAATCGCAAATCGCAAACTGGCTTAGGGCCCGGGTTATATGACAGCGCTGGAATTGAAGGCAAAACCACTCGATATAAGTAAATAAGCTTGAATTTACCTCGAATACTCCTGCCCTTGAATATAACTCGAACGCTCCTTTAACCCTACCCTTAGACTTTAAGTGTCTAGTTATATTTACGTGTATACCCTCGCTACCTTCCTGTTCATACTTACTGTCATATCCTTACTATCGCATCCTTACTATCGTATTCTTATTGTCGCTGTTATAAAGAAAAGAGAAGAGAGAGCGGGGAAGAGCGAAAGGCGCGAAGGTAGGTAGTAAACAATCGTTAGCGTAATACGTACTAGCCTAGCCGTTTAAGGAAGGTAGTATTTCGGGGCTGACGATAAGCGACGCGCGTACAACTAATCTATTTCCTAGCTTCTCTCTCTCTCTCTCCCTCTAGACAATATACTAGGGTACAACCCTATCTAACAGCGAGTGTAGGCGATAGTGAGGATACGACTGTAAGGATGCGGCGATAGCGGGTAGCGAGTTTATATAATTAGGCCTCCTCCTTAAGTACGTAGGTATGTGGTAGTATGGGCACTCTGGCACAGTAGTAGTAAATATAAGACTTTTGGGATTTGCGATTTAGTATTTAGTCTATTCGGCATTTTGGTATATTCAGGATGCCGTATTAGGCTAACCCTGGTGGTTGGCCTTTGTTTCTAAACGATTTAAAAATAATTCAAAATTTTATTAATTCTCTAATTGGTTGATTAAAAATCTCACTATAAACCAAAAACATATTTCACTATAAGGATTTAATTCTTATATACTCCGAGGCCAACTAGTAGCTTCCAAAACATTTCTCAAACAACTCCACTGTCAGGAACAACGTGCCCTGGAAAATTATTATTCTTCAACTTGGACCTGGGTTTTCCATCATCCTGGACTACTTCTGGGCATTCAAAAAGAATTACGATGTGACAGGCTAGCTTTCAAGGCAAGTTGGTCTCACAACTATATAACATAAACCAACACCAACAAATCCACCCCACGAAAGTTGTTCTGAATTACAATCCATACATCGCAAGCCACGACATCTTACACGAAGCCTCAAGTATGAGCTACAATATAGAGAGGATAATTGAATATTCCAAGTAAAATACCCTGGAGATCCGCTGAAGCTCTCTACCTCTCTGGCTCTATTACGTATAGATCTTCAAATAAGGAACCAATCTCCTCAGAACACCAAGCTAAACTCGCTCAGTAATTACTCATAAAAGGTGAGAACCATCAAAAGTCCAACACTAAACAATCGAGAAATAGAAGAAGCACCCAGCACACTACCACCATTCTTCTTCTCTCCACTTTTCAACGGAACAGCCAACCGAGTCTGCTTAGCAAAAAACTCCAAACAGCTCGTAGGAAGTGGCACTGTAGAATTCGCCAGAACGGACAAGCTATGATTATCATCAACTTCCAGATCGAACCCGACACTCGGGGTGATATATGTCAAGTCTGCAAACACATCTGTATCTGGTGCACCAACAGGGGCGGGTTCACACTTTGCGTTAACGTTGTGGACTTGTGATACTCTCATATTCAAAGCCGGTATATCTGCGAAAATACTCGCATCATATTGTTCGTCGAGGAATTCGGCCTCGGCGTGGTAGGAGATTTGTGGTCGGAAAGCGGATTGGAAGGCGAAGGCTAGATCGGGAGTAGTGGGTGTGAGATTTCCTGGGATAATTATAGAGTTTTCACTGAAGCACATTTAGTTGAGAAGCATATGATGAGGCCTGGAATGTGACTTACAAGCCGATCCCATCGGTTTTTAGTAAGTCTTGGACCGGGAAGATAAAAGCGTAGCTGTCTGGGACCTGACGTATGTCAGCCTTACTTATGTTGAATAGCAGATATTATACTGACATGAACGTCAAACCCATACGTGAAATTCGCGCTTTTCGTGTCGTTCATCCAGCCATGGAATAGAAGTGTAAAGTTTACCTCGGCTTTTATGAGACCAGGAATCTAGTGTAATCATATCAGCAGGCCCATACATCAACTCATCCCCATATAACAAAAGAAGCCTTACACCAAATTCAAAAGAAACACCCCCAATCTTTTGAACAATCTCATGAGTCAGCTCAGTAGGATGGAAATCCATTTCAAAATCCGCATGAAGAACAAGGCCATCAAAAGCAACCCCAATCCATACACCATCGAGATCTTCCGGTTCGGCTAGAGATGTAAAGTCGTCACTCGCAGTCAAGTCCAGCAAACCACAATCAGCGTTGTTTGCGCAACCGCCAGAGATGTGGATTCATCCTTTTGCGGTGGCATTGAGAGTCAAAGTGACTTCGGCGTTGCTGAAAATAGTAATCGTCAGTTCCTCATTAACATAATGAAAACATAGGGGTAAAAAATGTAGTAACTCACTCAATAGCCTTGCCATAGAACTTCATATCAATAGCTCTGTTAATCTCTGTAGAATCGATTCTCTTAGCCAACCCCGCAGGATCGGCAAGGGCGAAACGTTTGGAGATATGCTGTACCAAATGCAGCGAGTCTGCAGCCAGACAAGCGCCAACACACAAAAAGATGACTCGAGAGATCTTCATCTTGGAAGGTTGCTAAGATTAGAAGCTCTATATTGGCGATATATTCAGCTTGAGCTAAAGGGAAATGGTAGAAATCATCAGTCGATCAGTTCCGCGAAAGAGTCGACGTACAGGGCACTTCCTACCTTCATATGAATTTGCAGATCTTGAATAAGGCTGTCTACTTCCTCACGATAGCCCACCTCAGAGCAATACGGCTCTTCACAAACAATAATTTTGGATCGAAAAAGCCGCGGAAAATTCTATGCGCGTCAAAAGTACATAAGCAGGTCGCAACAGTCGCAACACGTCAATGCAAGAAGCGCGACCTTTCAAAAAGTCACCGCGACCACTTTGGGAAGTTGGGGGAGGAAGGCGCGAACAGCAGCCGACGCTAGCTCATGCCTTGTCTATGGACGAGGCAAGTAACAGCGCGGGAGGGGAAGTTCAACTAGCGCAGTCTTAGAATGAACCTTTCATTGGACTTGGTAGACAGCCACCCCCTTTCTCTGTACTACTCTTTTTTTTGCTTCCTTTTTTTTTGATAACTTTGATACCTGATATGAACAAACAACCACCACAAAAAACACTCTCTTCTCATTCCCAACCACAGAAAGCCACCGCACCCTTCCATCCTTCCATCCTCTCATAACCTCATCCAACACCCATATACTCGCCCCCCAAGAGAATAGCGACATCTACTTAAACAGAACCCCCACCAAAACCCCCTGCTTACCTACTTCTCCTTCTCCATCTCCGCCAACTCCTCACCCTCCTTCGGCCAAAGATGCGACAGATCCCCCACGGGAAGGTTAACCGTGATCCTCACCTCCGCAGCAATCATCACAACCGTGATATAATATCCCAAAAGCGCCACGAGAAAGAAGATAGCCGCTCCAGCCTATCCCCAGAGATCAGAACCCTCTTATCAAACCACATGCTCACGAGGAGTGGACAAATGAGAGGATAGAAAAAAAGGAAGACACACACCTTCTGCAACCTCCCCGCCGCCTCAAAATCCCCCGTACTAACCCTCCAATACGCCCCACTCAACACAAAATTCGACACGAAAGCAAAAAAAAAGATCGCCGCAAAAACAACATTCGTCTTCAACGCAAAGCAAAAAACCGTAAACAGCCAGAAGCCCCAGAACATCAAATACAACGCGATAGCAGCATTATACCCCTGACTCGCCGCGCCCTCGACGGCATCGCCCGTCGCAGAGTAGGAGGCGGCGATGCCCCATGAGGGCGTTTGGATGAGGCCGAAGGAGAGCCAGAAGACGCCGAACATGCCCATGACGAGCATGGAGAAGAAGTTGCCCATGATCCATTCGAAGATGCAGGAGAGGAGGAGGAGGACCGGGCCGGTGAAGTAGAAGATGCCGCTAGAGGGGTGGGTTAGTGGGGATTGGGAGGGAGGAGGGAGGGGATGTATGTACACTACGCCTACGAGGGAGGTTGCTCCGCCCCAACCCATGAGGACTGATGCGAAGGTGAGAGCTGAGATGACGAATCTGTGGAGGTATTTAGTTTCCATTGAGATTGTGGGTGGTAATATGGTGTTGTTTACCCCATCAAACCCAATGGCGTTGGGTTCGCGAATCGTCTTCTTAGATCCCCTGTATTGGCAGTCTTTGGTGTGAGGTAAAGCTATGCGATTCAATTTGAGATCCATCTAAATTTGTGGGAGGTGGTTGATCATCACCTTTTCGAAAAGCTCTGGAGAGAGTGTCAAGGCACCAGCAGACTTGACCTGCGAAATGGGATGTATCCCAGCTTCCTCATAAGATACATCGTCGCCGACCTTTCTCTGGGTGGCACCGTTGGTAGAAGACATGTTTAATTATGACAATTACCCACACACAAAATAAGGATTATGAAATGATGAATATCAACAAGATAATATAATAAAGGATAAAGAGCTCTTAAGTCTATGAAAATAAAGTCATCTAAGCCTCACCCCATAACCACCGATGACGAGTTGGGAACCTTCTCGGCTCAAGGCTTTCTGCATACCTACTACCCCCAAAGGTAAGATAGCTCACTTACCAATACTGTACTCAGCAAGGTTTAAGCGGATGGTAACATGGATTCCCCGCACTCCGCCCCCCCTCATCTGCCGAACTACGAGTACGACCAATAAGCGAGGACTAGCAAGGAAAATTTCCCAAGCCAAAGAATGGGGAAGACGAGGTGCGCCGCCAAGATATTTGACATATGCATTGTTGATGGCTGGTAACGTCTCCGCTGAAATAGTGTTTCATCGATGGAAGATCAGATATGTGATAAAAACAACTGCAAACAAAACGGCTGACGATGAGAAAATCGAACACATTTTGGTCAGATCAGAGCTGTGGAAACAAGATTTAGTCAAAACGGAATAAGAAGAATGTGGAGTTCTTAAACAAGAAAGTCTATTTTGAACCCACGATGTACTTCGTAATCGGAGATCGACATTGTCCGCTGAGCACATTGTAAACGCATGGACCGGAAGGAAGTGGGACAACGAGAGCGATAAGTATAGATGAGGGACTCAAATACTTGCTTACAGTGATCAATCTTGCTGTAACCGATACTGCAACCATGCAATTGCTCACATGTTCCAGCACCAGTTGTTGAGTGGTATTGAAAATGTAGTCATCTCGGTCTGGCCTGTAACAAACATGAAATTAACATGTTCTGTAGGCCGAGTCCGAGTTGTACCATAATAATGATACCAGTCTGACTACCACATGGTGGTACAGAGGTACAGATATCTTTCAAACTCATCTTATATCGTACATCAGCCTACTAGGGCCACTCCAAATATTCGATTCAGGTCTTTCACGAAAGTTTCGTGTTCCTCTGTTGTTCGTGATTTTGCGTCAACCAAAGTCCCATCTCTCGATGGAAGAACATATTGAGACCAATCCTCAATCTCATGCACCTTCACATTTCCTAGCGATGATGTACGCTGCGTTGACGTTGGTCGCTGACTCAAACAAGCAGAGTTTATGGCTGCATTGCGAGCAATAAATGAAAGGTTGAAGGGAGTTAGGTTTTCAGACACGGTTGGTCCCTAGAAATATCAAGACCAAGTTCTGAATGAGGCATAGTAAGGTGAACCTACAACTTCTTCAAATGCTTCTGATGACGGGTGGGTTGGATATGAGAAATGGAATTGAGGCGTTTGCCCATATATCCAATCTCGTGACTGATGAATGTTAGTAAAAATATGTGATGATGGGCAAACGTATGGTCACACACCTTCAACTCTTTTAGTCCCTTCATGATCTCTGGTACGTCTCCTTCCTCTTCGCCCACTAAAACGGGGTCTACATGGCCGTACATTTGTTGAAATTCCTTGACCACGGCATCCTCGAAATCCGCATTCTGCACTTCCACATTGGCTATTGGAGAACTGACACTATCAACCCCTCGGGCTTTGATATATGGTTTGCCGGGACTTCTCAAGAATTTCCCGATATCCTTTAAATTTGGCGAATTCAACAAACAGGTGCCGTGGTGTACACTCCGTAGTCTGGTGAGTTTGTATGCACTACCAGAGACTTTCCACGGCTTTGCTGCTACGGACGAACCCATGACGATATCATGTCGTTCATTGACCCAGACACCATCCACGGCAAGACGGCGCAAGGCGCGTACCACCATCTGCGCATGTATATCTCGATCGAATTTGGAAGTTGGACAAATAACGCTGTAGTTCATGTTCCCTTCATCGTGCCAGACTGTTCCCCCGCCGGATCTTCTTCGCACGAGGTCGGGTTTTAATGGACTGCTTCGAAGGAGGGATAGGTTGCATTCTACCCATGGGTTTTGATTTCTCCCAATGATGATGCTGGGCGAGTTTGTATATAGGAAAAGAATCGTAGACTCGGCTGGAGATTTGGTGAGGAGGTGGTGTTCAATGGAGAGATTCAGGTACGGTGATTGGCTTCTTGAGAGGTAGATTTGCGTTTCAGCATTGGGGATTTGGTGGAGAGAAGATTGGAAGCGAAGCTGCCATTTGTGGATGTTTGGTGCCGGTGTCAAGATCCGTGAATGGGAGAAAAGAAGACTTGCCCCTCTAGATGGTGACATTTAGTGGGATGCCTCAGACCGAAGAGCTATGATAGCTATCGTCTGCCGAAGGTGCATAGCTTTGGTGTTTCTCGTGGGCTGCCGCCGGACCGAGATCGGATGCAGGTGATACTTCAGGGACCTGATAGATCTGCCGTCCAATCTTATACCAGAACCAACACCAGCATTTGCACCAACATCGGCACCAGTATCGGCAGCCGGGAGATGAAGGGAGTAATCTGTCGGGTAGCTTTACCGGCATCTATAGCGACATTAGTGGAGTGAGTCACAGGGCATGCGTGCCAGATTCCCAGGTACTTTATAAGGTCCATCCGTCCGGTTCTTCGGTGCACACCTCGTCCCCCCTGCCTTTCTCTCCAGGGATTCTTTGGACAGCGACCAGCTACTCGCCAGGTACACCCGAAAGAGTCATTGGCAGAAAAAAAGTGTACAACACCACCACATCCGCTGCTCCCCTATAATTTCCCTTCTATTCTTGACCTCTACACATTTCAGAAACTGACAGCTGCCCAACCCCTTACCATGTCAACCTTTGGGACTCACTTCAGGGTCACCACGTAAGTCATACCCCTCCTTTCCCCCCTCCAACACCTACAAACTGTCGTCCGTTTACTAACCATTTTGTAAAGCTATGGAGAATCGCATTGCCGTTCGGTAGGATGTATCATCGACGGAGTCCCTCCTGGAATGGAGCTCACCGAAGATGACATCCAACCTCAATTGACACGACGACGACCCGGTCAAAGTGCCATCACTACACCCCGCAATGAGCAAGACATTGTCGAGATCCAGTCCGGCACCGAGTTCGGCGTCACACTAGGAACCCCAATTGGGATGCTGGTACGAAATAAGGATCAGAGACCCAAAGACTATGGCAATTCAACCATGGATCTCTTCCCACGGCCGAGCCATGCTGATTGGACATACTTGGAGAAATACGGCATCAAGGCAAGCAGTGGAGGTGGACGAAGCAGTGCAAGGGAAACTATTGCGCGCGTGGCAGCAGGCGCAATTGCTGAGAAATACTTGACATTGTCACATGGCATTGAGATTGTCGCTTTTGTTTCGTCTGTTGGACCAGTTCATATGTTTCCACCTACCGCACTGCATCCTACGCCTTCCGCCAACCCAGCCTTCCTTGATCTCATCGAGACGATCACACGGGAAACGGTGGACAAATTTGTCCCCGTCCGGTGTCCAAACGAGGAAGCCTCGAAGCGAATGGAAAAAGAAATCGAGGAAGTTAGGGATGATCATGATAGTATTGGAGGAACAGTGACCTGTGTTATTCGAAATGTACTAAGTGGGTTGGGAGAGCCATGCTTCGAAAAGATGGAGGCTATGCTTGCTCAGGCTATGCTGAGTATTCCTGCTTGCAAAGGCTTCGAGATTGGCTCTGGCTTTGGCGGTGGTGAGGTTCGTGGATCTAAACATAATGATCCTTTCGTCGTGGCGCCTGAAGTTCCTCCAATGGAGACTGGAGCGTCCAGAAATGGCACTAAGAGACCGAAACTAACAACAAAGACGAACAATTCTGGCGGAATTCAAGGTGGTATCACCAACGGGGCACCTATCTACTTCCGCGTGGTGTTCAAGTCTGCAGCTACAATTGGGAAAGCTCAAGAGACAGCAATGTACAATGGGGAGGGGATGGGAACTCTGGAAGCAAAGGGAAGACATGATCCATGTGTTGTTCCTCGTGCTGTGCCCATAGTGGAGGCGATGGCTGCGTTGGTTGTTATGGATGCACTGATGATTCAACAGGCAAGGGAGCAATCGAGACGTGTACTTCCTCCTCTGAAGAAGAAAGATCCACCCAATGGTGAGAAATCTGTTGGCGTCAACGGTGTTTAGAAATAGATAGGCAAAGCTTCAGTTAGTCCTTACAATCAGGTATATTTTCCCGCGATCTGACTCTGAATCTTATGGAATTCCTTTGCGAAGCAAAAGTATCTTCCCGTTTTCCTTCCATATAATCATGCAAAGAAGGCATTCGTTCCCAACCATCTCCTCCCGAGGCAAGACCTCAACCTTGTTCATCACATCACACTTCCACTCTCGACTTCGCCATCAAGAAACATGATGAATGAAAGAATGATACAGTACGAGGAAAACGGCGTTGGAAAAAACAAGTCCTATCTATCTTTTAGCGATTCTATAATTACCCACTGAAATCAATCCTTTGACTCTCAAACTTCGAGGCTGCGCGTGGTTACAAAGCCAAAGTCTCATTATTTGAAAGGCTGGGGAATGCAATCCTACGCTGGAGAATCGTAGTATGTATCGTACAACCTTGTGTGGAGAGATTTACTTTTATATGTATCCGGAGAGATGGGTGGTTGGATACTGGGTTTTGGGGTTGCTTGATTAGATAGTACAGTACATGGGTAAAGATGGATAGGTAGCTATTACTTTAGAAATTGTACAATTTACATGATATGATATTCTTACAACGACAACTCGACTCCGCGCTGAACTAGGTACCTACAGACTATCGAATAACCCAACGCCGTGCATGTCAATCCAATCCAAGTGGTAATACAATCCCTCATTCTCCATTCCCTAATTCCCCAAAATTTTCCAAAGTTTTTCCATCCTATATAACGCCCCTTTTCCTCCTTTCCAATAAACCAACCCCTCAAATCAAAAAAGCAAATTCGGATTATCCCCCTCCAACAACGAATAATCGGCACTCAACAACCCCATATCCCAAAAATTGAAATTCGACGGACTCATCCCATCAACATCCATCCCCATGCCCCCCACGCCTTTCTCCGTATCCACCGAATCACCTCCCTGACTCAACGTACTCCCATTATTCTGCGTTGCAAAATTCCACGTCGCATCCAGATCCAACCAACTAAACGTCCCCGGGCCCGCTGGTCGTGGCTGGGATGCGAACCGCGAGGCGTCGTGGCCGTTGGGACTTAGATGGATGGGTGCGAATCCGGTGTGTTCGTATGGGGTTTGGTTGGCGGGATTGAGGGGGTAGTTGGTGGTGGTGGTGGTGGGGTCGTGGTTTGGATGGTTGAGTGGCATTCGCTTGTGGGGGGCTTTGCGCCAGAGGAGTTGGAGGAGGCGCGCGTAGCGGGAGCCCATTCCGTTGGCGCCTACGGAGGCTTTCTCAAGGCGGGAGATGGTCTGTTGGATCATTTGGCGGACTACTGTTCTTTCTTCTTCGGTCATTGTTGTTGTGGAGCGGGCCTATAATTGGTTGGGTTAGCGAGGGTCTATAAGGGTTTTCGGTGAATTAGTAGAGTTTACCTTGTAAAGAAATACGGCGCTATAGATGATGTACAGATAATATGACGATGGCATATATCGAAGTGTTTCGGGATCAACGAACGTGTTGAAAGTAGACAGAAGAGATTTAGCAGCGTCAAGTGCTTCATAGATGAATCTTGCGTCGGAGGCTGAGGCATCTATCAATTGCATCGGTCGATTTTGGGTGCGTTGACTATCTCGTTGGAAAGTGAGAGCTCGTGATATAGTGGCTTGGTAGGCGAATGCATTTACATATAGACGTAGGTATTCGTATGTTAACAGAAGGGTTGCTTTCAGTCTAGGAGAGCCTATAGAGTATCAGTACTTTGTTTAGATCAGAATAGGTTCGATGCTTACAAGCAAAATCTCCCCAAAGCTCATGCCAATTTCTAATACTAGTGCGAAAATCGTCTAGATATTTTGTATACCTACCCTCTAGCATTTCTTTCCATCCATGACCTTTCGAAGAGTAAAGGATATCGTGGACGTTGCCAAATATCTGCGTCAACTCAAGGTTGGCTTGAAAAATACGACTCCAGTCATCGGTATTTTGGGAGTTCGGTGGAGGCTGGAGGGTGGGGAAGTCACTAGATCTGAGCCCAGATAAAGGACCAGGACCTCTAGACCAGAAACCCTTTCCAATTCTGACAGAGACTTGACGATCGCAAATATAGCATGCCGACCATACGAGTCTTTTGCGATTGAAAATTGCTTGATCTTCATGAACATCGCTCTTGAAAGACGTCCTATCGATTCCAAGAAAGTAGCCAAGTCGTAATGCCGTTCCGATATACATCCAAGCTACACGGTCTTCTTCACCACGACCAACCGCAAGGGTGGATTGAGGTCGATGGGAAACCCACTGTGATAAGAGTAAAAGCGCTTCGACTGCTTCAACATCCGCATCTGCGCCAGATAGAATCATAGAAACCAACTGCTGATTGTGGTCGTAGCAAAGTTGGTGAACTCTCTCTTGGTCTTTGGACGCAACTGTGAGAATGGCAGAGAACAAATGAGGTTCATTCCGAGACATCCATGGCAGTCTTGCTCTGTCGAACGTTTCTTGGGGAATTATGGGAAAGAATGGATGGAAAAACTCTTCATAGCTGTTTCTGGTTAGAAAGGAAATTTACGAAATTCTCACCCAGGATCTTACCTTGAGAATAAGTGGTAAATCATCTCGGGACTAATCATTCCATCTTGAACGGGCTTATAGTGAAGGTAGGAGTCCGGGTTGGTTACAAGAGGGCTATGGAGACTTTCGATTGGGCTGGTTTGATGATTCCTTGCTTGATTTTGAGGCTGATCACTTGGTGGCGATTCGCCATCCTCGGCGGAATGAGCGACTTGAGCTAAGATATCCAAGGCATCAGATGGGTTTTGTAGATCTACGGAGGCAATATTTTCATGAACACCCGTTCTTTCTGCGGATTTTGATGAGTTCCCTTCTAATAAAGACGTGGAACCGTTGAGCTTTAGAATGAAAGTTAGCATGACTTGGAAGGCTTTCACAGAAGAAAAGATCCTTACAAGTTTATCTTCCACCCGATGGGGGTCACTATGACTCACGGTAGTAGCCGGTGTCAATTGTTGAGGCCATGGATATGTTGGTTCTGGTTGAGTACCATAGTTGTGCTGAAAAGGTGGTGATCTTAGATGAGGCGATTGTGGAACGTGATTGTATGCAGCAGTCTGCACAGGCAGTGATGATCCAGAAAACGAATTATTTGGAGACGAGCTGCCGTTATTTATAACAACCGAATCATCCTGAATAGGAGAGGTTTGATTATCTTGCGTCAGGTTCTCGTCAAGTTTCGGTTTCTTTCTCACTCTACGACCACCACGATGGCTTTCCCCCAAGACGCAATCCTTTCCCTCTCGCTGGCATCTTCGACAAGGCTAAATAGATGTCTCGATCAGTTTGTTTTCTTGAAGCCGTGATAGCCACAGCTGCGTGATGTGCCTCCGAGTCACGAGGACGAGATGTTAACATGGCCTTGTCGAGGAAAATAGCCACTCTCAAGGTACGGGACCGTGGAGAAGATGAAAATAAAAAGAAAAACTCACCGGTCTGCCACCGTTTGCCTCCAGGTAACATTTACTTTTTCTGCTTCGACAATTCAAACATGCCCGATAGGCTCTCATGGACTCCAACGGAGGGAGTCCACTTCTCCGGTCAGCGGGTGAAGACTCTGACATCCGAGGGCTGCCTCCGGCATTTGGAGGTGGAGGCATTGTGAAGCCGTTGGATGTTGCATCGTCATTACTCGGCCCGGCCATTAACGGGGGCAATGTCCTAGGCGATTCCACCATGGGAGAGTCAACCCGCTGGCCAGAGGAGATGGTTGCAAGACCGTGGATGGAGGTTTGCGGTGCGGTACGCGCGGCGAGTGTCGGCTTTTCAAGTGATGTAAACTTAAGGTTAACTCAATCCAGAGGGCAGAATGGGAATGGAGGGCGAACTCGAAACACACCTTCGATGCCCAGAGTGGCATCGAGAGGTTCGAGGTGGTGAGAGAAGGGGAATTGTGCAGATCTAGCTGGAGGATTGAATTTACTTGAGCCTTTTGCTTCTGTTGAGTTTGTCGTCACCAGCTAAAGGTCGGCACGTGGTTGGGTACGAATTTCGGATAGAAAAGAAAACGTGGGGGTGGGTGCGGGGAAGGCCTGGTCAATTACTTGGGGTACTGCCACTTACTGTTGGGAATCTGGCGTCGTTTCAGCCCAATTAAAATGCCTCCACTTTTTATCACCAACTTCCTGGGGCTCCAGTGGTGCTCCTTGCTTTACTAACGAGCCATTTTATAAGATCGTAGTTTTCTACGGAGGTACAATCATACAAATAGGTTGCGACAAAAGAGATCTTCAAGTCTTCCTAAAGGCTGCTCATTCAAAATCCACTCTCGCCTAGCTAGTAGTGGGGTAAACAAAGGGGAAGAGCGCTACAAACCAATGTTTACTTGGTCATAATAAAGACTAATTGGCCACAATTGATCTTCTCTGACCATGAATTCAATTCACCTGTCTGCCCTAAAGAAAACACAGCCAGTGAATACTGAGAATTCAGTAGTGGACGCCACCTGTATTTTCAAATGTCCATTCACTACAATGCCTAGAACTATAACATTCTCATGCGGGAGGCACTCTCTTACATTATCATCAACGTTTTTTCTTACATTACAGCCACATCAGCGCTTTCCCTTACATTACAGCCAAAGTCATATGTCACACCATACCACTTCCATCAAAAGCCATCAAAAGCAATATGTCGGATCCCATGAGGAAGAGCATCTTCCGACTAACCAGTTCCCGCCAACCCCACAACACCACGAGAGACCTGGGTCAAAAAGCCTCTATGAGCTTCTGAAAGAATATTTCCTGCTTCTACTTCCTCCCAAGTTTCGAATAGCACCAGTCTGCCAAATGATCAACCCCGACCAAGCAATCGATACAAAACACCCCAGACCATTGAACGATTATGAGTTCGAAGCCCCTAACCGAGGCCTGCAGCTCAATAGCTATTCCCCTCATGACCTACCAATCTTCCTGCACCATGTCCTTTCGACTCGCCCTCCGCTGAACGACGAATACCAAAAAATGCTATCTTCAGACATTGCATTCACATGGACAGCCGACCGTATGAAGCAGCTGCTGGATACGTGGATGGTCCTATTCGACGACTGGTTCTTTGCAGGACGGTTGAAGGATACTCTCAAGGGGGTCAATTTTCGTCGGCGCGTTGGGGACCAATGCGATGGATACGAGTCTGCTCATGGTGTGTACTCGCGGTACAAGAAGAAGATCTGGATCCAAATCATTCGCCGGAGTCGTGTGCAATCTTACATGTGTACTTATGAAGAATACTTCATCTCTGTCCTTTTGCACGAGATGGTTCATGCGTTTATTGATTTGCACCACTGTCAGAAAAGTTGTTTTATGGATAAAGGATTAAGACTCAAGCACGCCTCGCAAGGATGTCTGGGTCAGGGCTGTCATGGTATGTATATTTTACTTTACCACCAATGATCATGAGATGCCCTATATGGGATTGCATCAAGTCCTAACTCTGGTAACATAGGACCTCCATTCGCAGATTCTCTCAAAATACTCCAGGACGCTTTGCAGAAGTCTGTGAAATGGTATGTTTGGGACACTCTACCACCATCCGTCCTCCAATCTATGAAAACCGAACGCTGGCAGCCGCGTGAGGAACAATTACAACACTGGAATATGAGAGATTACTTCTTGGCAAATTTGGGAGGTTGGGATCCGGACAAGGAGCTCGCTGAAGATCCATGATGGAATGCGGAGAAATCGATAGCCGATATATAGTGATGAGCTAATGAGACGGAGGAAAGAGATACCCCTCTATGTGGAATAGAACTTTCAGTTGTCTTCACAATCGTATGTGGAAGATTCTTGTGTCATAGCTTCGTCGATAGTAACAAGAATGATAAATGTAAAAACACACACTCATTTATTTGCACCTCTTTTCGCTAGTAGATCAGCTTGTATCATAATAGTTTTAACTCGCTTGACGTGCATTTCTTGAGCACCGACATTCCAGAGAGGGTCGGTAAGAAATAAGTGATATCATAGAATACAAGTGGTAAACTAGAATGAATTTATGTATCTTCCAGTGTCTTCCAGTGCTCACGAAATGCACGCCAAGCGAATTTATCCTCATATCACATTACCTTTTATTCCTTCATATTTGTTAGCCTGGCAAATGATCAAGATCAGGGCTCTAAATAAATAGCGTAGAGTAAAATAGGTGCCCAGACTTGGGCACGATATTGTTGATATGATATTCGAGAGGGGGACTAGAGGTGTCCACGATAAATATCATATCGTAAATATATAGACGATACAGTATCGGATATCAGCTTTCTCACGATATCTGATCCATCATATAAATTATAACATCGATTACCATCACACGTGACCTGGAAAATCGTAACCTGAATAGAGACTAAGTACTAAGGTTATAATAAGTACTACTGTGTAAGAATATAGTTTTCCTTCGAGCTAGACAACTAATACGTAATAGCGTAATATATACTCTTCTAACCCTTTCGGAAATATATTTAGAGGGGATAGGAATTAAGCGAGGATAACCTAGATAAGTATAACGAAAAGTGTACTTTATATTATCGCAACTTGTCTTATATTATATAAGTAGTATACTAAAGTATTAAGTTTATATAATAACGAGGATGGAATACATAGGAGTGCGATAACGAGGCGACGGTAAGAGCGTAACCATAAATGTCAGGGACAAAACAGCAGACGGTCAGAGTAGGCTGTGAAAAAGTGGAAAAGAGAGAGAAGCTAGCTAAGGGGAGTAGAGCGGCTCTAATATAAGACCTGTCTGTCGGCCTGGAAGCGTCCGGAATAGGACTAGCGCCTTCCATGGAATATGCTAGTGCTAGACAGTGGAGCCAGGAGTGCTCGTGTTATACAGTAACAGTAAGGATATTTAGGAGTTACTATTGTTAAAAGGTAAGTTATAATTTCATAAGGACTTGGATAGTAGCGGTATGTTGATTTATGTATAGTAGCAAGAGGTATTCTAGAGAGATACTTCTAACGCCTATAGTTAATTCAGGAATTAATCTCAATTTGAAAGGGTAAAGGATATATAGATAAAGAGGTTGGAATTCGACTAATATACCTCGTTTATAGTAAAACTAATATGGGCATGTCGACTCCCCCGCTAGAATCATTTAAATAATCCCCTATTACGAATTCCTACTTATAGCGTTATACTAATTCGTTAATACGACGATAACTAAAGTACTATATAACGTAAATAGTCTGCAGGATAATAACTCTCTTGTCTATATACAATTATTATAGGCTATTACTTAATTAGTAACAAGGGGTACCTAGGGGGGTCCGGCTAAATCCGAGCGGGCGGATCGACCGGCGAGAGTACAAGGAGGCACCTAGGGTACGTTACGGTGACTCGGCCCGGCTAAACTCCGAATCGGCTAATTATTTCTATACTAATGTTTAGCCCTTCTGTTCAGGCGTAGCACATTATAACACACGTAGTCAATGTCTATGTTAACCATCTATACGTTCTAGGTAGACGTTAGCTTAATCCCCATACAGCACATTTAGTAACAACAACTAGAAGGTAGATCAACTATAATTTCAAGTATGCTAGACGTCTCCAGATGAATAACATTGTCTTATGGTAGTCTGTTACTATAAGACCGGATCATGCTAGATATTAGCAAGATAATGTATTAGGGCCCCTAGATACTGTTCAAAGGTTTTTTGTAAGGGACTTTAACTCTGTTCCTTATAGCGTAACCAATAATAACCTCTGTCAAAAACGCGCGTAGCTGAGAATAAAAAAAAAGTGCGAAATTAGGAACTTAGAAAAGTAAACCCCTTATATTATAGAACAACCACGCCTCTAGGGCTTTAGCCCTACTGTATAACTGTACTTTAGTATATGATTAGTACTTGTATCGACTTTTTATATAACCTACGAGCGTTTCTGTATTATAATTTAAGAAGGTGCAAAAAGTCGATTCTTGCGACCGCGAGGCAAGATGGCAGGGGTGAGGCCTTCGTATATTCTTAGTGTGTTAATAGCTGGAACCTAACTTTCCGCCCTTCCTTGAATTACGATATAGTTATATCCCTAGAATTTATAAGAAGTCGATATATCTACTAAAACATATATTAGTACTTACTCCTATAGTAGAGTAAAAGCCCTATAATTGTGATTGTTATATTATATAGAGGAAGCTATCTTACGATTCCGCGTTTTCACTTTTTTTTAGTGTTCCTAAAAATCATGATTTTGACAGAGGTTATTGAGCTATCTTACAATTCTGCGTTTTCACTTGTTTTTAGTGTTCCTAAAAATCACGATTTTGACAGAGGTTATTAATAGCGCTGTACTTTAGCCACGCCTACACTAGAAAACCTATATTTAGTACGCCTAGGTCGAAGTATATTTGGGTGTATTTTTTATTAGATAGAGCTAGGTATCCATGTTTACTACTACGTCCGATAGCCGTCGATAATCTTCTATAATAACCGCGAGAGATCCTAATCTTTATTAGACAACCGACGTCTTCTCACTTTACAAAGTCAACCAACTACAGTACGAGAAATCTCAATTTTCCAGACAACCAATATCTTTCCACTTTATAAAGTCAACCAACAACTATCATACTCAAACAAAATGCGTTTCTCTACCTTCTCCCTCCTCGCACTCGGCGCACTTAGCAGCGGCGTCACCGCAAGGTCTGGGCATTACTTCGGCTACTGCCTCGACAAAAACAACAACGGCCTCCTCACTGTCTACAACGCCGCGAAGACTCAGAACGCGTGCAACATCCACAGAACCCAAGTTGTCGACGGTGTACAGTGTCCGGACTGCGAGTATAGAGACGACCCGAACAAGAAGGACGATGAAAGGTGCTATAGTCCCGGCGGAAAACTCGACCCCTTCACTTGGGATAAGATCTGTATTATTCGGGCCGATGCCGCGGGTTCCGCTACATCGGATTAGATGAGGTCGAGCTTCTTCGTTTTTCTGGGAGGTCGATGGGGTTTCATGGGACAAATCGGTTCTCGTTGACTCGTACTGTATTCAAACATGGGCACGATAATGTTTGGATGTCAGGGGCCAAGGAAGGGAAAAGTGAGAGGGAAGGGTTAGGGGTGGGCGAGTTAGGGTATATGGTTCACAATGATTATCGCATCGTATCAAAAGTTTATGGGCAATACAATTTCGGCAATCTGATGATGCCTAACGCAAAAGTAATTGTTGTACACGTAATTTGGAAAAAACTATAAATGCGGCCACGAACTAATTAGTATTAGTACGGTAAGGTTACTCGTATTACTTTTTATTTCCAGCGAGATGGCCTAAGTACAACTCGAAGAAGGCCGAAAAGGGCTTCGATGAGAGCCTAATGGGCTAATTTCAATCTCAAGTTTGATTGGCCTTAAAAGTTTTGTTTTCTTACTAAGAACAAAAATTTACAAGCGCTTTATATAGATACCCATAGGGTTTGGATTCACCTTCACCAACTTTTATTATCGTTCTAGTCTCAGACCACTTTATCATTTATTGTATCTCTATCCCGATTTGCTTGTGGTCCTCGGCCGTGATATTCGTAGGGAACTCTGTCTTATCTTTAGCGATTGAAGGGCCGAATGCCTCTGTTCCAAATACGCAGATTCATAACGTTAATCCTCAGTTTCCTGTTCGAAATTACAATTATATCTGGATTCTAAGCAATTCTAAGAATTGCGGCATTGAATCACCCAGAATCCCACATTTACTTTGCGACTCGTGTGGTCCATGCTCAACCAGTCGTTTTTGGTTGTATTAACCTTTCAAAATCTTTCCCAAAACCACCGCGTGGTCGCATATTTCTCAAACTAGACGATTAAATGAGGCTTGAGCGATTCAGAAGCTTTAGCTGTAGTAGGTTACCCTTTGGGTTCTCAAGATCCTAGTCGTTAAACCTATACTATTCAGGCCGTAGAAAGTCGTTACTAAAATATGGTCCGGTGGCCAATTCTTGAGATATAAATAAGCATATCGTTATAGCGATTTTCTTGGCATAGGCGATAATACGGTCACTTAATTAAGTACAAGGAATGTATACTATAGTACTGGAACGAATTAGTACTACGCTTATATTTTCTTATTTCCTGTTAAATTATACTTGAAATATAGCTTTTCACTTCGAACTTTACTAGACTACTATTAATTTAAGGCATTTGGTGTCTTCTAAGGGTAAATGTAAGAACATCTTTCGTACCAAAGAGATTCTAGCACCCCGGAAAGCCTAAGGATATCCTTATCCCCTAGACTACACAGGAGGAGCTCCGCTAATTATAGATAACACCAAGAATATTAAGCGATCTAATAGAACCGTGTATTTGTTTATTTATTTATTTCTATTTAACGTCAAGCGGATTCTAGCTCGCGTGGGCTAGGTCCTAAAGAGTCCCAAAATAGGGCAAATGACGCTAGGGGGGTGCCCTAGGCTACAGGGGATGTAAACGGAAAGAGCTAATTTACAAGAGACAGTTTAGAGAGAAGCTCCGCTTTCGGAACAGCTCTTATCCTTAATTAGTTCTAGAACCAGGGTAACAACAAAGGAGATATTTAATAAAACGAAAAAAGAAAAGAGAAATAAAAGAAGGCCTGTCTATCTAGAGAGACAGATTTTAGTGTAGAATCCGGTCTTAAAGTAGACCTGGCTAAATAGCTCCTCGCAGTGAGACCCAAAGAGCAGTTGAGGGTTCTTCTCAGCCTTTGCTAATAGCTTAGGGGCTTTGTTGTTTGCTAGCTTGCAAAAGAGTAGGTGGAACTGGGTCTTGGCCTTCCTACACTTACAGTTCCCTGAATTGAGTAGCGCGCCGAAGTGAAAGAAGCGAAGATGGTAGGCAGTAAAGTCTTCGTGTTCAGAACGAGCAGCGATTAAGCGAGCGAGGACCTCTCTTGGTAACTGGAGAGACTTGGGCTTCAAGAACCAGGTACAGAGGCCTAGGTC